TCTGTTTCCTAATGAATATTCCCCCACCACAGAAACCTTCTGCTTATTCAGCTTGTAATGATACCTTGTTGAAAGCAGCCAAGACTGTGGTTATTGATGTGATGGGGAATGCTGGTAAGGCGTTACACCATGACAATAACTGTGATGACGAAGTTCTCCAGTGCGGTGTTTACTATGACGGAACTTAATTCGCAAAGGTGGGGATATTCATCATTAAATTGTCAAGTCACTACCATTTCAATGGAAATGGGTAAATGCCTTGATGTTGAGATTTTGTGTAAGGTATGTCATACCTGCCAAAGGATTGATAGAGAGACGACATATGATGAAAAAAGGCATTGCGTATAGCTGACCATATTGGAAAATACAAGGCAAATTATGCCGGTTCAGCACCGTCGATGTAGACCGAGGGAGTGAAGTGAATCTTTGAATGTAGTGAAGCGACCCACAAATTACAATATACAGAGTATTTTGGTGATAGTGATAGCAGGAAGGCAACACCTATAAGGCAGGATTGTTTTACAAAAGTAAAAATGACATTTACTGCTTTGTATTAGCTTCCACTGCTGAAATAACTTAAACCGTAAACTTTAAAGCTGTTTTTCTCAATTCGTAAAAATGGTCCGATTGCTCAATTTTCATGCATGATATCTCCAAAACTATTAAAGGTAATAGAAACACCAGGCGGAAATCGAACTCTAGTTAAAAATATTATTGCCCAGCAAATAACTCGTAAAAGAAGCATATTCAAAAAAAAAATTGGAATATAAAAAATATTTATTGAGTAACGTTTCGTCAACCTCGTTCCCAGGGCTTCAGTGTGAGGACGAGGCGAGACACGAGGAATCCCTGGTCCGGGCCGGTCAATTTTGCATTCTGATTGGCTAACACCATATTGTCTAAAAATAGCTGAACTTGACAGTTGACAATAAGTCAATAACAATTCAACATTTGTATTTTTATGATTCTTGTGTGTACGAGTATGTTTTGCAAAAAAATCTTTCAAAGTAATACGTTTTCTTTCAGATTAGTGCGTTTTCCCGACTGCATGATTTACTTTCGCCTTGGCCGGTTACTAAACTGAAAAGCCGTGTCGAAGTGAGCTGTGATGTTTCCGAAACGTCTACTATTATTTAAGCTGTAGTTTTCCTTGTACAGTATATATTAGTGCAGATGTCTGATGAAATAGTGCGCGTATTGCATTGTAGTAATATTTTCATTTACAATATTCTGTACTGACAAATAAAAGCAAGATAAACAATTAAATGAAGCTATTAAATTAATTTAGGCCCTGTTTACTTAATAGCTCTACGCCTAGGCCGATGTAGTCTCTACAAGATTCGCACGCCACCCAGTTTTTCAGTTTCAGAATACCCCCGAATACTTGAAAATTGCGAATATACGATAAAATAAAACAAAGATTGTGAAGGGGATAAAATTTGTAGGCAAGCATTCGGCTCCTGAACGGCAAGTGTTGGTGTCCGACGAAACAAGCGAATCCGTATACTCCTGTACAGCGTAAACAGCTTACGCGAGGTTTATATTTGTTTATTTATATTGAACTAAGTCAGATCTATAATCCATATTTAAACTAAATATTAATTATAGCAATAGCCGTATTGTTCAAGACGAGAGAAAGGAAATTTCGTGTGAATCACCACTTGCATGGAGACGCCTAGATGCAGCTTGGATGCAGATTTGCCTGTAGTTGAAAATCTCCAGAAATATCGGTATATCTTAGAAAACATAGACGGGATCTTCAGAGAATTTAGCTGATTCGTGCCAAACTTCGCTCTACACATAAATAATATCGATTGAGAAGTCCTTTGGCTATTTATTTGTTTCGAAGACTTGTATAATTCATCAAAGAATATCTCGCCACTCCTTGACGAGTAACTGTCAAATACTGCCAAATTTTGTCGTCACGTGACCGGCCCGGACCAGGGCTTCCTCGTGTCTCGCCTCGTCCTCACACTGAAGCCCTGGGAACGAGGTTGACGTTTCGTCACACTACAAGCGACATCATCAGACTAAATACAGTTAAGCTATTTCATCTATTTTATAACAAATTTTGAAAAAATATATGATATACAATTACAATGCAAAAGGTTAAAAAGTTAAAATTAGAAATATACAATGTTCATGGTATATTGACATGCACAAGATACTGAGATTAGTGAAAGATATAGATTAAAAAGGAATGTCAAGTGGTTAGCGTCAATGTTAAAAGATGTTAGTAAATTAACAAGAGGAAACAAGTGTTAACGGAAAGGATCGGACATTATTATTAAGCCATGGTTTAGTTTGAGCAATTAAGCCTGTTTTCCACCAGGCGGAATTTTGCGCGCGGAGCGGAATTTTTCTTTGTCTTTTCTAATTAGTTCCACCCGAGAAATCACAAGACAAAGTGCAATTCCGCTCCACGCGCAAAATTCCGCCTAGTGGAAAACCGGCTTAGGTAAGCTTTCTTCAATAAGAATATCATGGTTAGAATTAGCTGAAGTAACAATTTTAAAATCACTTGATTCAATTGGATGATCGGCTTCTCTAGAATGATCCAAAATACTAGATTTTGAAACACACGAAAGAGGATTGCGAGTCAAAGCCGAAATTCCGCAATGCTCGGAGATTCGTGTGTGTAAATATCGGCATGTTTTGCCCAAATACAATGCGTTACAGCATTGACACTCAAATTGATACACGACATCTATCTCAGATTAAGAGGAATACTATCTTTGAAATGGAAAAAATTAGACAAACGGCATATTGGTTTAAAAATCACACTTAGTTGTACTGGAGCTAAGAAAAGCCGAAGAAAACAATTTGTGTAATTGTTGACGGATCTGAATAGTATGATTCCCCGTATAAAGTAAAACAATCGGAATAAGTAATTTTGAAACTGTGGGCGTTTAAACTTTGAGAGGTGGAGAAATCATTTTATCTAAAAACATTTTGACGCATCTATCTATGAACAATTTTGGGTAACTATTTTGAAGTAATAACTTTTTTAATTATTCAAGTTTAGCGTGAAAAATTTGATAGGAGGAGCAGATGTTGAAATAACGAAACAAGAGAGAGAAAATGAAACCTTTTTTGTAACAGTCGGTAAAAAACTTTTAAAATTTGTAAAAAGACCAGTAAAGGTTGGTTTTCGATTAACAGAAGCTTTAAAATTCCCATTAACACGTTTAATACTGATATCCAGAAAAGGCAGAGTTTTATCATCATTTTCAATTTCAAAAGTAAAATAAATGTTCGGATGTTTCGAGTTAAGGCAAGGAAAGGAACAATATGATCACGTGAGTTGAACAATACAAACGAGTCATGAACATAGCAGCGGAAAATGTAGGTTTAAAGCTATCAGGACAATTATCAAGCCATTCTTTCCGGCTCATGAAAGGACAAAAAAATGTTTGCAAAAAGCGGCCAAGAGGACTACCCATAGCTACGACATCAATTTGGTCATAGTTTTTTCCATCAGAAATAAATGACAATTTTTAACCGCTAAATTGAGTAATTGAACAAATTCAAAGATCGTATTCCTCTTAATCTGAGATCTCATGTCGTGTATCAATTTGAGTGTCAATGCTGTAACGCATTGTATTTTGGAAAACATGCCGACATTTACACACACGAATCTCCGAGCATTGCGGAATTTCGGCTTTGACTGGCAATCCTCTTTCGTGTGTTTCAAAATCTAGTATTTCGGATCATTCTAGAGAAGCCGGTCATCCAATTGAACCATGTGATTTTAAAATTATTACTTCAGCTAATTCTAACCATGATATTCTTATTAAAGAAAGCTTACTAATTGCTCAAACTAAACCATGGCTTAATAATTATGTCCGATCCTTTCCGTTAACACTCTTCTAAGTAGGTGTCTCCTCTTGTTAATTTACTAACATCTTTTAACACTGACGCTAACCACTTGACAATCCTAGTTCACTAATCTCAGTATCTTGTGCATGTCAATACACCGTAAACATTGTATATTACTAATTTTAACTTTTTAACCGTTTGTAATTGTATATCATATATTTTTTCAAAATTTGTTATAAAATAGATGAAATAGCTTAACTGTATTTAGTCTGATGATGTCGCTTGTAATGTGACAAAACGTTACTCAATACATATTTTTTATATTCCAATATTTTGAATATGCCTCATTTACGAGTTATTTGCTGAGCAATAATATTTTTAACTATTAAAGGGTCCTGATCAAATTTTCGGAGTTGGTAGTACATATCATGCTCCAGGAAAGAACTAGAATAATTGAGTTCGGCTTCATTTTCAAGGAGTTATCACTGTTTCAGTGATGCATGTTTCCGCATTTTTTGTGTTTGATAGGATAAATTCTGATAATAGCTGTTCTATATGCAGTAAAGAAATTATTCTAGTTCATTCCCTAGACAATATTGTATCATTAATTCTCACCTAGTTATCATGTTTGGAAATTGACCCATTTTTTCCCTTTGGGCGTAGCATATATTGGTTACTATGGTAACAGTTCGCTAAAGAAGGATATTTTCATGGTTGGGTGACCACCTTTTTGGTTTGGACCATTTTTAGGAAAAATTTGTTATAAGACCACCAAAACATAAACAACATAAACAACATGAACGAATCCTTCGTAATACAATTTTGCAGCGATAATAATTACGTCGTCGAATGTCGCTTCTTTGCCATCTGCAATACCAACTAATAAGAGAGTAATGTTGAGACTCGAAATTATATACCAGAACGCGTTGGTTCGGACAACGATTGAGAGACATGCATGTCAATAGAATAATTATAGTTAATGAGACTTACACTTTGCGTTGATATTAATTAAGGTAAAATTAATAACGTACACGTGAAGTAAAAACTGAAATGGTGTAATCTAAGAATGCACAAGCGTGATAATGTTGCCTTGAGTAGTGCAGCTTCTTCATCCTTGATTTTTAGAATAATAAGTCAATGAAATCTCACTTTAATGGTTACAACAAATCAATGCGATAAACTTACTGGCATGTCACATTTTGTAGAAAATCGTCCCAGCCTTCGTTCCAATCAATTCCCTCTCGGTATTTTCGAAGCAGGTTCGGAAGAAGTCTTTCACTATATCTAGGGTCATAGTAGCATCCTTTCTTGATCATTTTGGTGGCATTACAAGACGTTTCTCCCGGTGCTGGAAAATTAAAATGGTGAAAAAAATAATACGTGAATCCAGTTGCGTAAGTGGCGGAGAAAGGGGCCCCACGCCTAAGAAGTGGGGGGGAGGGAGGCGGCAGAAATGACCAGAACATTTTTGCTAGTACATTGGACAAATTGGCCCGAGCCTCAGTTATAGAGACTTCTTTGTATTAGACATGGATGGGGAAATATTTTTGCGCTCTTTTTTACGTGTAAAAATTTTACAACACCTTTTTGTAAGGAATATGGTTCGAGAAATTCCTCCCTCCGCTAGCCAACTATCTTTTTTCGAAAAAGTAGGGCCCAACTTAAAAAAATAACGGGGGGCCTCAGGATGTTTCCTAGCTTTCCACGCAATTGCGTGAATGTACACAATAATTATATAATTGTTATATAGACCGCATCCGTAGTCATTTAAATACATTGTTTTGAAAATGGGTCATTGTGGATGTTTTCCGGAAAGACATAATCAAAACTATACGTATTGTAACGTTCCAATCTTATTATTTTGAGAGTAAAAAGGAGGTATGCAGCCTATATTTTGCCATGCGAGCAAGTTCATTTTATAAAGACGATATGATCTTTGGTTAGATATCTGCATGCTTTCAATCAGAGAGCCCGATAGGGTTTATATGGCCATGCAGCAACATTGTCCTATCCCTAGCGATAGCAACTCCGCGTTTTATCCCTCACCTGTGAAAATTCCTTTAATACAACTCTACCATGCAAGATTATAGGTAGTTAACACTATAGGCTTAAGCCATGTGACTGAGCCACAAATCGTACTAATTTCTTATGAATGATAAATACTACAAAGTTCAACTAAATAAAATAATTCATACCACAAGTACGATATACCAGCGCAATGAATATAAATACTAAAACGCTACCTCCAACGGAAATTTTAAGACAAACTTGAAGACTATTCTCAGCCTTTTCACGCATGCGATCGAGGAGCATGGTCAATCCGCCGATATAAATATTTGTATTAATGAAAACCGTCTTAAAATTAACAATAGCGCACAAAGCTTTTCATTAATGTATTTTTTCTGGTAAGACTTCCTAGTAGACATTACATTTAGTTTTTTTCTTATTAAAATTGCATGCTTGCTCTCTCCCTCCTTGGACTGGGCTCGCGAGAGAATCGCGAGGCACAAACATGCCAGTCTTGGCTTCAAGAAAAAGATAGGCAGTTTATCTAAAGGGAGCAATCCAGTTATATTTATTTCACTAAACAGATCACCCGTTCGTATATAATCCACCTTATAGTTTCAAATATTTTCAATATATTAATAATTTTAAAATAATAAACGTATTGAACCTATGAAACTATTGAATAAAATAATGCTACCTCTGGTGTTGTTTTTCGAATATGTTGGAATGCAGTTGGCATTGTATTCCTACAGTAAAAAAGTTAATTAATCTATTTTCTTTCGTTCGTTGTAATGACGAATCTAAACTGAAATATATATATAGGATATTAGACGGTTGCAAATCGATATGGATTTTATGTTCGAGTGGCAAAAACAATGTCTCATGAGCGAGCGCAGCGAACGAGTGAGATATTGTTTTTGACACGAGAACATAAATCCATATCTTCTCACAACCGTTTAATGTTCTGTTTATTATATGGACTTACTCAGAGTGACAAAAATACACACAAAGACGACATGTAAATAAGCACGCGAAAGACCAGTATAAAATCGATATTTTTCAAAATTGTAGTGCAAACATAAAACTAGAATAAATTTTACTTATCCCAAGATGTCTTAAAAGAATTCTCCTCAACTTCCTCGTGGCGATTTTTGATTAATTGTGTGATTGCGAAAATATGGGTCTTCAAACTTTACCTTGCGCAAGCTTAAATACCACCCCTCGAATTTGTAGGTTCCGAACGGATTAGCGTTTTTAATTAAAAGCCTTTCAAATCGAGGTTTGAGAGGTTTTATTTTTTAAAAGTTACTTTTATCTTCATATTTTCACATTAACTTATTAATATCCTGTGTAATCCGGGCCGGGACAATTTGACATGTCGATTTCTTGCTAAACAGCGTGGCGATCAATATGGTTCGTATCTAAATACAGGGAATTTTTAAAATTTTGTTGGTATAAATGGGCTAAAGAAACTCATCAAATATTTGGACTATGGACCTTCAAACTTATCCCAAGTATTTATTTGATTGATTAGCTTAATAACTGTTTCTTGGCTCGACATTTTGTCCACTTCAGGATAATGTGTCAACATTGCGTGTTGCAGCCTGTGGACATGAATATTTTCGTTTGTTTGGCCATAACACTTGTCTTCATTGTTTTTAATCCTTGAATGACAATATATTCATTGGTCTCAGAGTCCTAAACTTAAGGAAGATGGATGACTTTGGGACAGAATGATTTTGTCCAATATTGCTGTTCAGGTATCAAAATTTATGGACATATAATTATGAACTTCATTGTTTTTACTTCATCTGGCTCACTAGTCACAATTGGGCCATGTTCATATTACCTGGCTAGGTGGGAGACGACATTTACCAGTATGTCCTATCCTATCCTGCTACTATCGTCCTGGCTAAGCGCGAGGTTTCCATTGCCAGAATCCTGGCAATAAGCACTGTATCCCAAACACGCAACATGATAGGATGGGTTCTGGATAGCCTACAATCAATGACAAAACATTTTGGACAAAATAGCTAAACAGCGTACGTTTACAATATAATCGACCCCCCGCATCCCCCGTTCAATGTTGTGTGTGTAAATACCTGCGCAAAATGTTCCTTGCCAGCCACCCAACATTGTTTAGGGTGGGGGAGGGAGGGATAGTGGCTTTATGCTGAACAGTATTTGGAAATGCGGAGATATGTATATATTATACCACTGTCCAAAAACCTTTTGTCACTGATTGTATGCAACTGGTAGAATATTGTATCATAAATATCAAGTATTTATTACATGTTCAGCCTTGATTAAAAAGTTTAAATTTACCAAGTACCTGAACAAGTGTTTACCCGTTATTTGGCTGGTCGGCTCATAATAAAGTAATTTCAGTTAAGCGTGATATAGGTATAAATTCATACACGTATAAATGGCTTAAAATGTAGGGTTGGGAAAACCATCCCTTATACCGTGATGCGAGTTTTTGCAGGTCTTAGCAGGTGACACGGTTCATTTTCCAGCCCCGAAAAATCAGATGAGCAAATATATTGTTCTCGAGAGGGACACGCCATTCTTTGCAACGAGTGACGCCGCACTTATTTTAATTAACAATGGATCTATTGATCGCGTGAACACAGAAATGATGAATGTAAGATGGCGAATGTTTCCGCTTCATAGACAATTTCCGCGTGATGAACAAAGAAACATTGCGGCTTGCGCTCGATGCTTTGCTGAGTTAGTATTATACGCTGAACAGTGATCTATAATGATGTATTTTAATTTAACGTAGGCTACATTAAGATGTTAACAAATATGTATTCTGGTCATCCCTAACTAAGTGGCTTATGACGCGTCAACGAATCCCACACGAATCCCAGTCACATTTTATGTAGAAAAGGGAATTAAGTTCAACAATTCTTGCTGTTTTTCTCTCTTAGCTTATTGTAAATATGTCAAAGGAATTAATTATGTGGTTAACTTCGAGCGAAATCAATTTGATTCCATGAAATTCCGACTTTCGTCGAACGATTCCCACTATTTATAGTAAGTTGAAATATGACATCATAATTAGTAAATAGAAAAGTGGGATTCGTCGACTTTTAACCCATTTTCTCTGTCTTTTATAACGAAACGCACGCGTATTTGAAGCCAAAGTGTTAATGTATTCCTTACGCACGTAATTGTGTGTTTAAATTCCCAACAACGATCATATACATGTGAGAAAATATGGAAATTATTACGCGAACATGTGTGGGATTCGTTGATACGGAAATACGATGTACAATCCGTTGTCATAGTAACTTTGTCAGTATTTTGTTCTAAAGCCGTCAGCCTGCAATACAGCGTGTATTCGCTTAGGCATGCTTGTGATAATATTATTTACATAATCTACAGAAACATTATATAAAGTTTTTATAACTCTAGTCTTAAATTGTTCCCATGTCTCACGCACAATCTGTGAGTCTCTAACTTGAGCATCAAGCTGCTTCTTAACTATGTGAAACATGTTTTCTATTGGATTTAAGTCTGGAGATCTCGCTGGGATACAAAATAACTCACATCCCTCTTCCTTTATAGCTGTCTTAGCTGCTAGGCTTCGCTGAGACGGGTCGTTGTCCATTATGAACCATTTTCTTCCACGCTTGCGCGATAGTAGTGCTGGAAATATTTTTTTTACGAACTCAGCGAAATAGGTACCGGTCATTTTCTCATATTCTTCTACCAATACAACCCCAATGTTGTGAGAAATTGCGACCAGTAAGTGAAGCCGTTTTCCACCCGCAAGGGTTTTAGATCCTTTTGCCGTCAATTGTAAACCCTCGCTCTTTCTTCTCCATACCCGCCCTCTAGGGGCTAAAGCGTCACTAAGAGGCTGTGTCTTATAAACAAAAGAAACCCCGTCTAAATAGAAGGCAATATTTCGCGAGAAGAATCCGGGCTTTGTGGAAAGGATCTTCTTGCATTGTTGCGCAAACGATTTTCTTTT